CGAATGTACAGAGCGAACAGAATCTTACATAACCCCGAATGTACAGAGCGAACAGAATCTTTAGTGCGGACAAATGATAGGGGAAAATTTAGAATTTATAATGTCTGGAAAAACATTATTCTGTTCCACAATGTATTGTTGTGACAATTAGTCTACACCAGACAGAACGTGAATTTCCATAGCATTTCGAGTCAATCAACTAATATCACTTCCATTTTGTCAAGAACAAACATCATGAATAATTGATGACGTTCTGAAATGACGTCATAATGAATAAAATGTCATTGGGTCTGGCTCGTAGGTCCGTAGTGTATTCATGTCCATCGTTCGTCCAGCCAGTGGACACTGGTCAGTAGATTATTTCTCAATATGAAGCCAGTGGCGAGATCAACGATAACTGGACTGATGGCGCGATGTTGGAAATGAATGCCGACCCACTAACTGCAACAAACATCGCTTTCGAACACCGTTTGTCTGTTTCGTGTTTATTTCATGGTGTTCTATCACATTCACTTGCAAAACAACAAAACAGTGAATAAAATATTTATGAGAGAACGGAAGGACTTGCTTATATATCGATTGAGATGAATCCATTACAATTGGCTCAGGTTTCTGTCGCTGAACGTTTCTCATTCAGAGCCCATCTCTACACTAATCACTGACTGTTTGACTCATCCACCTCATTTTATTTCACTTTAGTCATAACAATTAGTATGTCGATGTAGCTTTGGTATGTAACAATTTCACTGTACGGTATTGTGTTTCTATCAACAATTCAAAGAAAGATTTTAATTGATTGATTTAAAACTGTTAATGTTTTTAAATCATGGATTTGTATTCTGAACAAGTAGGTTTTATAAGTAATGGCTTGTAAATTTCCCCGCTTCTGACAACATAAATATAAATATGTAACTTCATGTTATACTGCTCCATAGAAATCAATTAGCACTTCATTATTACACCGGAAACGAGCTCAGCTTACAAACAGTCTACTCACTATGTAACTAAATGTACTTAATAAATATCGACAATTAACAATGTGATAATCGTTATGAAAACATAATTGGGGTTGGGGAAGGGCTATATGATAGGTGCTGGGATCGATTGAAGCCCCATCACCACCATTGTACATGTCAAAACTGAAGCTGTTGCCAGGGCCTGGACTATACCATTTTATTTTTAATTAGGAGAATCTTTCTTCTGGTGTTCCGGATTATTTCCCCAGTCCTACACTGTATTTATAGTGTTAAGGATGAGGTGGTGTGGGATTTAGATGGTGAAGAGTGAGATTATGGTGGGAATGGAAGGAAGGATGGATTTTAGACTATTTTTTAAGGATCGTATATCGATATTGAGCGTAATTATTAAATATCTTAAGATGTGGATGGGAGAGAAAGGGCCTAGGGTGTATGTCCATTATGATATACCTTTATTGATAAAGAAATTTGTCAATTTCATGATTATTTACAAAGTTTGCAGTCGCTTAAAATGCAATGGTACGGAAGTATCAAACGTATATATATGTTTGATTGAAAAATAACTGTTTTGTAGTTAAGTAATTCGTCCGAATAACCGGTATTGAACTTATATTAATATATGCATATTATTTGCCAAAACATATTCAAGAAGTTTTTTTCAATTTTTATATAATTTTTACAATTTACAACAAAGGCTTCTTAAAATTTTTTTTTAACTTAAGTTTTTAGAATGCTCTATGGACAAAAAGGATAGCTGAATATAAAAGATTAAGCTAAAATCACCACAAATACATCCAAACAGAGACTGTGATAATTAAAAAGATTTTTATCGTACTGTATGTCACTCCAGGGGACAGGAAACATATTTGTTTGTTAGGCCTTACGACAACGAGCGGCTGTTGAGTGTTAGGGAAATCACTTCTGACTTGTGAGGACAATAATTTTCCACGTCACAAGACACAAGTTGATGACGAGATGTCCGCTGTATCACCTCCAAGTGCTGCTCCACTTGTGGTATTTGTTAAACAATCAGAATTCGCAAATCAATGTGTGACTTGTTTCTAAATACTATTGGCGGAGAAATGAGAATCACCCTGACCTAAATACTGTATGTATCCATACCGGATATTAACAAATTTTGATTTTTAGGCTAAACGTACTCAGTACGCGTAGCCTATTGCGACGGCTTTTCAGACAAAATTTACCGATCCTGGCCTTCTCATTGGCTGAAATTAGTTTATTTTTTTAATAACAATACGATTACTATATATTTCAAAAAAGAAGCACAGTGTGGTTGAACTATTGATAAATTTTGAACAATATATTTTACGGAATTCTCGACATGACGTAAGCGTACAGAACACTGTACGTGCGAGTTGATAAGCTAGTTTGGGGGCTTGGTTTGAATTATCAACTAATAGCTCATATAAACAAACAAAACTTACAAACAGAACATCAATTTTGTTTTAATCCTTGTCGTTGTGGCAAGTAGACGTCACCGAATTGGACTGTTCGTCCCACGCGCACACCCGCCGATATGACAATTTTTTCAGGTTTTTCACACCCACCGCCATGACACTTTTTCAAGTTCTTGAAGATAAAAAGTTTGCGCTTCGTAGGCAAGGTACATTTGGTGCTCATGATTGATGAATAATATATTTTTAATACTGTAATGATCATGATGTTGACTTTGTTGTCTTTTAGTTTTATTTGATGAAGGTTGATTGTGCTGATTTCTCAAGGATTGTTAATGTGTATCAAAGTTCCTTGAAATGAAAATATTCCTTCAAACAAAGCGCGTTTAAAAAAATCCAAAATATTCATGTTTATAATTATCAATTAACTAGAACGAAATATTTCCATAACATATTTATTCATTTAGCGTGTCATGGTGACATTATCTAATGCATTGGAGATCAAAAATAGTAGTAGCTATAGCGAAAATATTGTAAATTTTGTATATATATATGGAAGTCTGGTTTAATCTCATAGAAATATGCCTTTATAGACATAATTACTGGAAGAAAACTCTAACCATGAAACTTCAAGGAAGATAGCCATATAGATACATTTAATGTAATTACTTACCTCATACTCAGGGTGTTTGTCACCCGTCAAGAACCGTTAATTATCCAATTAGCCAAGCCTTTCATGCTTGTTAAGTCAGGTACCTGAGTGAATTTGTTTACCTAAGGTAATTAAATAAGTTAGGGTCACGATGATTGTGGTTTCATAATTATCAATGGATCAAACCACAGCTGTTTCATCGCGGTAACCAGTAATCAATTAATCTTTCCGTAGAAAACTTTTTTTTTTAATCTGACCCCCAAAAAGTACCTGCGCACTATACCCGAGTTCGCACTATACCCGCAAATTTACGGTACACTTTAATATATCTGAAATGCTGTGTACACCTTATCTACTTTCCTCAACTACAAATATAATCATGATAAGTAAAGACTATTACTTTGCAATATATTCAAAATAAAGAAGTAGGTATAAAGTCCTTTCGATTTGTTTAAATCCTCATATTGATAGGAGAGTAATTGCAACATCTTGGGTATTTCAAAGGTTTTATTTAGTCAACTTCACCATAGAGCTATTTATCATTTGGCTTGTTGGCGATAAATATATTGTTGTGTGTATTTTGTTATTTTTTTTTACCTATTTTGATTTGTTCACATTATTGTTGTCAAATTTGAAATAAGAATTAAAGAAGATATAAAATCGCTTAAAATTAAGAAAAATAGCCTCTGGTTCTCTTATTTTAGTAATTTTTGAATTCCAAAGTGTAGGAGTATGGGGAAAGTAATATAGCTTTGCGGTTATTTGTGAACATTTTTCAATACGTTTAGCCTCTCAGTACTTTCAGTACTTTGATTTTTATTGTATTCCCCTGAAGCTTCCCGAACAGACTGTATTAATCAGAGATTTTTAACGAACCGCCGTCCTGACCCCTATGCATCCTCTCTGTCAGATTATTTGACTTAATGACACCCTTAGCCCCTTCATTGCCTTAGCTTGTGTCATCTTGCACTACACAACCCCTCCGCTAATTTAACTTCACCTTATTACATTTCTAACCTCCTCCCCCCCATCCTCGAAAACGTTTCACCATACATCGTTCAAACCCATTATCCCAATACATAAATATCCTCCCCAAGTGCAGAATATCCTGTAGATCTCTTTAGGCGAAACACACACGTGCACTTACACGCACTAAACAGTAAACATATTCTGTGTTGTTTACCGTTTTTGTTTTAAACATTGTTGTTCAATATAATGTCTTCATATTGTTTACTCACAATGAAAGGACACATGTAACCCCCGTCCATTATCATCACCACTTAACTTTATATCTCCTCCTACAAACTCGCCTGTGATAATGCGCACGCTGGAAAGGAAACACGACAGTCAATACTTTTACAGTCTTCTCCCATCCATCATATCAGACTGAATGTGTTTCAAAAGTGTGGCGTTTGTGAAGTCATATCGACCCGATATTTCATTCACCAGTCGTTCCTCAGATTACTTTATCCGATAAATTTAACACGATATACATACATTTTTATGCATGTACAGCGAAGAGGCAATTTCGGCGGAAATTTCGACAATAACGACAGAGCTGACACGCAGGCCACAGCCTCTATATAAGCGACCTTTCCATAGTGAGCAAGTTTTATGAGAAATTGTAATTTCGGATGACATTAAATACTAAAACTTCCTCGGTAGCCTATCGAAATGTACAAAGCATTATATCGCATAACAAAAATGTTCTCCCAAGTATTGAAAAAAGTAAAATGACAAGTGTGTTCTGACAAAAACAGAGAGAAATATAAATATCTGACAACTAAGTATTAAAAGCCCTACTGTTGTAAAAGTCTTGCTAAACAGGTTCACACCAAATTTCCATCAACAAAACAAGTCACTGACTAATCGGAAGCTTCGCCTTTGTCAGTACGTAAATGATTGATATGCGAAAAGATTAAAAAAAAAAAAACTACTCATGCATTCTTAACTTAC